TTCCACCTCTGGCTTTAAAACCTCCATTTCTTCTCCTTAGTTTCATCCAGTGAAATTCAACTAGTTCATTCTCTTGCAAGACTCTCTGTTGCCTGCCCCACCTGGCTTGTCCCCTCCTGTCAGTATGAGACTGCACTGCTGATGAGACACCAACTTCTTGTCAGTTACTTCCCAAATTTCGAAGTTTGGCACACTTCTGCCTTATGCTGCTTTTTAGAATAAATTTCCAGCAGACAAAATTTATCAGAAGTTTACTCATTCTGAATCATAGGACTTTTATATCATGCCTACAGGAAAGCTGACAATGGTCAAACAAGAGGTCCAATGAAACTTCAAACTAGTATTCCCTCTCTGTCCTCCTGTCTTTTCCTCCTTTCCATATGGGCTGGCTGGCTTGTTTAATACTTTGAAGGTTAGTTCTTTTGGATGGGAACCACTGCTTTTTTTTCCAATCATATTTCCTCAGCAATGTTGAGGGCCTTTAAGTGTTAGACTCTGAGTAACATATTTGACCATAGAGGTCTAAAATACAGGTAGACAGTTCAGTAAATATTTTCTTGTAAAACTACACTTTTACTGAGTACTCCCATCTCTCCACCAGGGCATGAGAGTTATTTAATGCCACCTGTGCTATGCTATCATTAAAGATTTTAAGACTATCCTATTCTAATTATTAATCCTTAAGAGAAGCAGGGAACATTAATGCTATTCTACTGTTCTAAGTGCTTAAATACATACACAGACCACCTTTCCATAATATTGGATTACCTGCAATGTTTAATGGAATTATCCTGGCAGCATCTTTCTGAAATATTTAAGAACCTCTGCTTGTATACTACAGACAATAATTGGCATGAATTAAGCACCTTGCCAAAGGTCTTACGGTAAGTCTGCAACAGAGCAGAGATTTTGATGCTGGCGTCCTAAGTTCATAGCTGTACTATTGCATCTTAATAACACAGTTTATGCTTCATGATGTTTTAAATCAATCTGACAGCATCAGGGCTTGAAAGGTACTGTGCATGATGCAGACTTTGCAGAAATCCAAACAGTATACATTTACCGTAAATGCTATGGAGGGGTAATTACATATTACAAATTTTGAAGCACAAAATAATAATTTTAATGATTGCATGAAGCACATACTCAAGTACAAATACAGGAAGGAACAAAAAGAAATTAAGACTAATATGCAGCACATAAAAGTCAGTGGACAGGATCACTTTGAAAATGGTCAATACTTTTATGTAACAGTTTACTTATGGTTTTATTTATTTGGTATGTAAATTATCATCAATAATGCAGATGCAGTACATAAGAAATGCTTTTCCTCCACTTGCTTTACTGGAATAATATTACACAGTTCATCTTTTTGAGGGCTATATAACTAAAACCCAAACTGGCTAAGGTGATGCCTTCACATTAGTCTTATTCCCATAACTCAGGCACTTATCTCCACTAAAATCAATATATATTTTTGAGTGTGCGAGAAGAAAAAGACAAGCATACTAAATACTTTTAATCCTGAGTTGGCAAATAGATATGTAATTCTGTTACACTTATCTCCACGGCTGATCTTTAATTTGCATATTTTCAGAGTTGTGATCTACAAATGGGTTTTAATTTGTTGACTTTTGCAAGAACAGACTTGTGGGAGTGAGGGCAGGTCATGCATAATCAAAGAATAAAACAAAGAAGAAAGATGCAGAGAATCTGAGTTCAATTTCTGTATGAAATGCAATTAACATTATAATTTCCTTGTACCACACAAAGACCTTATTGTACTGGGTATTCCCCATATTTAGGGGCTTTTTGAAAGATTCAAGAGATCTCTATCTATGCAAATGGTACAAAGTCTTGTGAAATGAACGTGAAAAATTTAGGCATGCTTTTCTCTCTCTTCTGCACTTGGAAAGAGGCATAGAGAGATGAAATGACTTTCGAAATAACATTGTGATAGATCTGGACACAGAACCCTCTGACCTGAACCGCAGCTCAGGGCCTGAGCTGAAAAGCTTTTCACCTTCTCTTATGAGACAAGAGTTCAACGAACTGTGAAAATGAAGAAAATTGTATATAGGCTCTGTAGGTAGAATTAGACATTGATATGTGTGAGTGCTTTAGATGCTGCCAGCTTATAACTCTTTCAGCTGCATGACAAAAGGCTGGGATGCAAATGTTATTTATACACACAGCCAATGATTGCCTTAAGCCCTGACACTACCTGCCAAGATTAAGAGTGCTGTATAGCCTACACTGTGTCCCTCCCAAGCACTGCCCTCCCCATGGTGAAGTGGCAGCTATAACGTCCTATTGTTTAGAGGTAGGAACTTTCAGTCAGCCTCCACTCTGCAATACTATACAGAATGCAACTCAAAGAGTTGCAAATCAAATCCCCATTAGTACCGCTGACCTCATTCTTTACCTGGAATAATTCTCTCCAGAGATCAGTCATTTAAGTATATCTATCCTTGATAACCCAGTAGGCCTGAAAATGAAATACCTTCTCTAATGCAAGCAACAAGAATCAATCAACCTTTAAACATACAAGGACACTTTATTTTCTGAAACTTATGGGTATATGAGTCATGCCATCATTAGACCAGTTCATTTTGGTAATTTGTAGACATAAGGACAGGCAGAGCTGTGGTCATTGCAGAGCATATTGGATGGGCCAGATGCTCAAGATTTGGGAGCTCTGTAAATGAGACTTCTCTGGGAAAGTGTCTAGTGGAAAGTATGTGAGCACAGACTACAATAAGGGTTAGTTCTTTCCAATAAAATATTGAATTAGTTGCAGCCACAATGATGCATTTCTTCTGCATGTATCAGAAAACCTTTAAATAGCTGTTGCTGTCAAAGTGTGATGAAGCTAAGATCTAACCTTTGCAGATTCAGTTATGATATTGATCAAGAATTGGGGAGGGCAGGAAATGAAGGAGTGGTTCCATGAAATACAGAATCACAGATTCACAGAATTGTTAGAGTAGGAAGGGACCTCTAGAAATCATCTAGTCCAACTCCACTGACAATGCAATTCCACAGGAATTGAACTGACTGACATAAGGAAAAGAAAAGGAGTAGGTGTATATATATATTAGAAGGGGTCTTAGGTATAAGGTGATTCAGAAAGTCTGTATCTCTCAAGTACCTCAGCCAATGCAGGAAGAGAGAGGGAAATGTGACTGGAAAATTAGGATAAAAAGGAGACTGAGTCCTCTAAAAATACTCCAAGGCATCTCCCTTTATTGAAATAAAGTAACAGGACTCCTCTGTCTCCTTTTTGGAAACCTCTGTTGTTTGTAAATTAATTTTCCTGACCCAAAAAGTATCTGCTCTTCTTACTTTGTGTTATATGTCACTGAGTTTTACCAGTTAATACCTCTGTTTCCCATTTAATCACATTTAATATGGGAGTGAATTTGCACTAGCATTTCTATTAGAAAAAAAAAATAGCCAATGGGAAATGTGAAAGTGATGTAAGCAGTAGTCAAGCACAAGCTTTGGAAAATTGACCTATACTTATGCTGTGCAGCTCTTTACCAGTGATAATCACATTTAGAGTAACATGAATGGGAATATAACACAGATGTAGTTAGCTACAGCTAGCAGATTACTTATGGCTTGTTATTTTGAACCATTACACTGACTTGAAAAGAATGAACTTATCCAAAAACACAGCTCTATTTAAACACAGACAAAAAAACTTGTTGAATCACAACAGAATTGAGCTTGGACTACATATACCTTGAGTTTCTTGTTCATCATTACATTTAAAAAAAGGCAGAAAAAATAGCCTGCTTATCTTTTTTGAAGGCTTGAAGGTAGGAGGGCTCTGCAGAGGGATCTGGGCAGGCTGGATCAATGGGCCAGAGCAAATTGCATGAAGTTCAACAGGGCCAAGTGCCAGTTCCTGCACTTGGGTCACAGCAACCCTAGGCACTGCCTCAGTCTGGGGGCAGAGTGGCTGGAAAGCTGCCTGTTGGAAAAGGACCTGGGGGTGCTGGTCAACACTAACTGAACATGAGCCAGTGTGTGCCCACGTGTCCAAGAAGGCCAATGACATCCTGGTCTGGATCAAGGGAAATCAAGCTTGCACCAGGGAAACTTTGTTTTGGATATTAGGAAAAATTTCTTCACAAAAAGGGTTGGCAAGCACTTGAACAGGCTGCCCAGGGCAATCAATGGTGGAGTTGCCTTCCCTGGAGATATTTAAAATATGTGTAGATGTGGCACTTAAGTACAGGCTTTGGTGTTGGAATTGGCAGTGCTGGGTTGAAGGGTTGGGCTTGATGATCTTAGAGGTCTTTTCTAACCAAAATGATTCTATGAAGCTATAATTCCATGAGATAAGCTTGAGTGATAAAAAATCCTGGGGAATAGATAGATGGAAAAGCTGCCCACTTTTTGGATAGCTATGAGCTCCATTATACATTTTTTCCCCAAGCAAACCATTTTCTTCCCTTATAAATTTTATGCAGTGCAAAAGTGGATTCTCGTGCTGCTAAAAAAGATTAAAGATCTTGGGTTTTGATTTTCATATAAGTGTAACTTTTTTGGGAGGGGAGGGAAAACCTCTCCCATTGTAGTCTAGTGTCTATTAATTAATATGGTTAAAGACAACTTGATGAGATTTGTGTCCTGTGAACTGAACAGTGAATCTATTTTTACTATTAGTTTGTCTTTTATATTCAATTTCATATTTAATTTGGCTTTCACAACAATAGCTGTAACTTGCTATTATGTCACAACTTATACATTATAGTATCAGGAAAACAGAGTGTGTCGGGTCAGTAGTTCTTAGAGGAATAATAAGTATGTATATTGGAAATTTTTGCATGCAGCTATCTTGAACTGGCTGCATGGCAACTGAGTTTTGTAACTAAACTAAGACATAAATCCAGGGTTTGTGAATGAATACCACGATCATCCTCTATTCCAGTAAAGACAAGAAAAAATCCTGAAAAGGTGGTGGATTGAAGTTATATGTAAACACTTACTGCAAGGAAGATCTGAAGGGAACTGTGAGCCACTTCTATGTACTGATATTCCAGGAAGCACCCCGAGACAGTGATATAACGATGATCCTCTGGTGCCCAGTCTGGTGCTGGGGTTACTGAGGTCACGGTGCAGCCTGGCCCATTCTCCATCCACCAAGAACGGTGCATGGAGATGTTAAAGGTCAGAATGAGATCTGTTTCCTGCAGAAGAACAAGAGAACAATTAATGCATGGGGATGGTACTCTGGTATCCAATGCCTCAGCAAGAGATTTCACAGCATGCATAAAGAGGCAAAGAGCTGCAATAAAACTGCACTGTCACATGAAAGTTAGCGGAGCTTGCCTGCTGCAAGCAGAAGTATCTGAGCCTTGTCAGGCAGAAAAGCTTTGGAGCAGAAAAATAATCCTGCAAGCCAGGATCTGCTCCTAGACATCATGCTAGCCTAGACTATAGCACTCATTTCTGTTGATTGCCCATTTTCCAGTGGATACCATAAGGATTGATGGCCCATGCTTTCTGGGTCTGATGTACCAAACTATATAAGAATCCCCCAGAATCAACACTTCATACACTTTAATATACACACATCATCTGCAAGGAGTTTTTTCTCATGGACCCAGTGAATAGAGCTATGGTAGCTGTACTGAAATACTGGAGAAGATTGAAGAAATGGATCCTGTGCATTTGCTTGCAGGCAAATCTCTTTACAGTACCTCTCTCTGCTTTCTAATTTCCTAGGATCCTGTATGGAAATAGTGAGCCCTGCCTTGTCTAAAGACTACTGGGCCAGTTAAAAAGGAGGGGCAAAGGCGTGCAACCTTTAACTCCCATAGAGCTAGTGTGATGGAGTAACTAGTCAGCCATGCCTTCCATTAGGATTGCATTTATAAATAGTTCATAAAGGATGAATAAATTATTAATATACATCATAAACAATACTACGGATATTACTTTCATAAATTATATGTGGTTGCACATTACTTGAGGGTGTTACACATAGCTATAACAAAACTATGGACTCTGTGGATTCTGTAATAGCCTACAGTGTTTACCAACATTTTATAAATAATTTATAACTGTAACCTCATTGTAAAGTGTGACTATCTAGTCTGTGTGCACATGTGCTCAGTCATGCAAAAAAAAATTGCTTTTAAGTAATGTCTTTGCAGAGCCAAACTCTCCCCACACCTAACCTACATTTTTTTCACCCTGTTGATGTTATTAATAATTAAGATTCTCATAAAGATTTTAAAATGTAACTATTTAATTAGGTTTATCGTGCCAAAAATAATAGAATGCTATTCTGTAGCAGATAAGTTGTATTCACATTTCCCTCCCTTCAAAATAGCTGTTTTCTCAGTCTCACTGGTTTCTCCTTTTTGCACTGTTTATGAAGAGGTAACTCCATCCAGAGAGGTTTCGGATAATGTCACATGTCAATTGATCTGTGATTGCACTTGACACTGCAATGTAGCTTAATGTTTTTTCTCTAATTTGCAGTTCGTGCAAAAAGTATGGAAATTTTTTACATTAAAAAAAATCAATCGCTACCCTGCATAAGCATACACAGCTATCAGATGGCAGGAAGGACCTTAAATATATTTGCAATGAATAATTACCCTTCATTCCCACAACAGTCCAATCCAGCAAATAATGAGCTGTATGAGAAAATTTAAAATGCTTCATATGAATTTAATCATACAACTAACTTCAAGCACTTGTTAGTTTTAATCAAAGCTACAGCAAACATTTCTGTATGCAAAACTATGCAAATTGTGCCCAAATATATATATTGATGTATGGTTTTAAGTTTTCATCCCCAAAAACCATCTCCATTCTGTGGATCCTTCCCTGCTAAAACCATAGACACTGGAAAGTGTCTGCCATATGTTTCTTGGAAATGGGAATTTTTACCTTTTACCCAGGCCAGAATATTTTTCTTTCTGAAGGCAAGGCTGCTACAGCCCCTCAGGTAGAACACTGGTCTTCTCATTTGATGTAAGAAGTTAAAGAATGGACATCTTTGGAGTAACTTTGCTTAAAGTAAAAGATTTATTCCTAAATTACTAAAACTGGAATTCATCATGTTACTGTCAAAAGAACTTCCAGCCATTCTAGTTACCATGGCAAACTCTAAACCTCTAGTCTCTTCTCACAGATGCAGCACAAATGAATAGGACTCATTGTCTATTTCTATTTTAGCATTTGCAATACCTTGAGAAGAATGATTATGGACTAAATATATTTTACAAAGTGCAGACTAGGGATAAACAATGTATTCCTTCAAAAAGAAAGGGATAAACTGACTTGCAGGAACGGAGTATTTGTTATGCATCTGCCATATGAAGTGAAAATGGATCAAGAGGAACTAAACAGAAAAATCAAAACTGGGCTCTGTGGGTAGAATATAATTTCTCTAGAGGCTGTGATTTTTGTTTACCACAGGCTCAGTAATCAAAAACTTTATTAGTTAAAAGCACAAGTAAATTTCCAAGTTACATTGGAAATATAATTATACATTAAAATATTTATGATTACATATGTAAATAAAACTTCACAAAATCTAGCTTTCTTCTATCCCTGAATTTATCCCCAGATGATTTTTTGAAATATTTACACAATTCCTTTGCATTCAAATAATCTTTTGGCAGTAAAGTTGAATGTTGTGATTAGGACTTGTTTTGTTCAGTAATAGTCTTTGAGTGCTTACCAGTAGAAAAATTAGAGATCTTTTATCAGATCTATATTCTATTTCTTTCTCTGAATAATCAGTAAAACACTATTCTGTTTACTTTGGTCTTAAAATAGACCTGATATCTGCATAGAATGGTTAACAACAACAACAATAACAACAATAATAATAAAAAAATTAATAATAATAGTAATAATAGTAATAATAGTAATAATAGTAATAATAATAATAATAATAATAATAATAATAATAATAATAATAAATCCTACTGAAAGCTACAGCTTCAAATCTTAGAGAACTTTGAATCATTTGGTTGAGAAGGCTTTTGAGAAGCAGTTGTTACATCCTGAGCCAGTTTAGAAAAAAGGTGGTCTTCAGAAAGCAAAAACAATAAGATGTGAAGTCTGTTCCTGTAAGATTAGACACCATTCATGTCTCAGGTCCAACTTGGATGGATTAAGAATGACAATGAAATAAAATCTTGAGAAGTCAACATGTAAGTCAGGCCTTGAAAATTTCTATCCCCAAAATATCTGGGATCAGAATAAGCATAGAAGGAGGCTATTAACTACAAAGCTGCTGCACAGTTAAATCTCAGGTATAAATTGTTATGTGCTTTGAACTTGCCTATAACTTTCAAGCCATGTCCCCTTTCATGCAACCATATTAGCAGAGCAGTTCCTGTTGCTCAGTCTTGAAGGTCACCCAGCTTATGAAAAAGTTTACCTTAGTGAGAAAACACTTAAAGACTTGAATCCCCTTGTAGAATTGTGGAAGCCAAAAAGGGGATGATGTATCTATCATTAACATCTCTTCTACTGCCAGCATTTAGAGCTATTTTTGGACAAACTCTACTTGCTATTTACTTTGTTCACTGTTTGAATACAGTTTTAGTGGACATAGACAAAGTCTACACTGGAAGCTGGGGATTTATTATTCTCTCTAGAGTATTTGCCGTCTGTTTCCCTTCCAACATCTGTGGCTCAAACTTTGTTCAGGGAAATGAAGAGAAATGGTCTGATAAGCCTTGAAGCTATGAAAACTAGCAAGAATTGTTGATACACATTGGGTAAGCCAATATGTTGTTGTTCAAAGTCTGTATGTCAAGGAAGATTTCATTATCCTAAATTCAACAAACAGCTGCTTCCTTTGTGGACATAGAAATACATCTGTAAGAGCTTTATTGCCGATCACTGTGCTGCTTTTGTAAATTCTGCTGGTATTTGTAAAGCTTTTTAGTGAAAATTGGTGCATTAAAGTAGGTTTTGATACTCATCAAGAAAAAAAACAAACAAAGGAAAACATTTTGTAAGGCGTCTGCTGACATTCTGAAGATGTGCTGGTATTTGTAGTGGTCAGGAAAAGTACTGCTAGCTTAGATAAATATTGATGTTTGGTGACTCAGATTTCTGAGATTGGGAATGTGATCTTCAAATTACATCTGTAATTTTATTACAGCTTTGTTGGTAAAAAATGGTGAGCTCTGATGGTTTTGTGCCTACGTTTAATACAGTAGATGGAGACTGGGGTCAACTGCACAGTACATAGCATTTTCTGGCTGAGGACAGCTAGTGACAGAACATGGCAACATAAAGCTTTGTAAAAGCTACCAGAAAAAGAATAAAAGCTTCTTTGCAATCAGACACAGCAGGAGGACAGCAGTGCTTAAAAGGAAGACAGATCTTTGTGCATTGTATTAGTACTAGCACATATTTGTAAGTGTGCTGTCTCTTTGTAGAAATCACAATATATTATTGTTTCAATGATTTTGTTGGTTGCACCTCAGAGAAGCTAATTCCAAACAGTGCCATGAGAGAAAAAGAGGCAGGAGTGGTTCAGGGTGATTCTCCTTGAAAGTCCAGATCTCGCAGACTCAGGGAAGTTAATTGTACTGATTTCAATGGTTGTGGCTTGCTGTGTCATGGGAAATGATTTCTTCTATTTTTCTAATTAGGAATTGCTGAAATCTGCGCAAACCTGCCAAGCTGCTGTACATCTTTTGTAAGATACAACCATGGAACTATTTGTTTCATTTTTCAAACTCAAACTAGTAAGAACAGGCTGCTTGGAGAGTGAACAATCACACAAGGTTTCAGTGATAAAAGATCAGGGTCTGAAAGCATTTATAGTTCTGGATGCCTGGGATGTACAGAGGCCTCTACAGGCATTTTTTTTTCTTCTGTTATCTCACTTTTCCACTAAAACTAACTCCCACCACCAGGCAGTACCATTTTCTTATGCAAGCAGACTTTTTCCTGTCTAAAGAAAAAATCTCTCCTCACTGAAGAACCAAAACAGCTTGTCAGCTGTGGGATTTTTGTGGTTTCTTGTTTTTTTTTGTTTTTTTTTTGTTTGTTTGTTTGTTTGTTTGTTTTAATTCAAAATTGATATATAGAAAAAATTACTGTATAATTATGTAGGAAAATGGATATTTCATTTTTTTTTTTCTATTTTGTTGCATCTGAACTGGGTTTTTTGCCTCCCCAATTATTGTATTTGTGTGATGCT